AGTTCTAGCAACTCATTACAAAGGAAAACATAACTAAATTTTTTAATGAAATGGATAAAGAAATCTGTCGTGGAGGTTCCTTGCCAAATAAGTTGATGGGTGATTTATAGTAGTTAATGAGGTGAGTGGGAAGTTAATACATTCGTGGTAGGTAATGAAGGGTTTAAGTGAGAGATTCATTGGATTAAACATGTGATGATGGTGGAGAGTTGGTGGAAAAGAAATAACGGTGAGGTAGTGGGCGTTAAATGGCTATGAATGACATGAAATAGGCTCTTTAGCTTCAACGGTTTTGTCTTCTCTTTTCCTTCTTTATAATCACAATAATCCCACAATCAATTCTTCAATAAAATCCACCACCAATTCTCTTCACACCTGGCTTGAACTTAGACAAATGTATGTTCATCTTTTGGCTTTCGAACTTCCTACAAAAGATAAATTTACCTAATAAGTTCACCAAATTAATATAGAAAATTCATAAATCCAGTTGGTGAGAATAAAATGTAACAACAAGTGAAATTATGTTTATTAAGCCAAAATTATATCATAAAGTCTCCAAAATAATATTAAAAAGATGTAATTTGAGACTCTCATCATTCAGCCTACGGGTATGGAGGTTCACGCGGCACGGATTGCACCCACTGGTGTCTTCCCGGCGTTCCGGATACTTGGAATCAACTTCTATTTGCAGCACTCTTCCAAAGTTGAATTGATAATTTTTCTCTTAATAATGATGTTACCACTTGAAAGCCATATAGTTCAGTTATGCTAGCAATTAGGAACTCCTTAATGTTGCTTCATAAATGTTTGAATAAAGTAGGGTCAATTGATGTACTTTATGCCTTTTTCGAATTGTTAGCTGTTTGGATTTTTTTTTTTTGGCACTTTTCCAAATATGTAAAACTTGGAAATCTAACATAAACATCAACAACACAATTGGAAATGCGGGTTTTGTAAGCTAGTTTGAGTTGAAATTTGTCGTACTTTGGAAATTTAGGGCTTATTTGGTATCCTACTAAAAAAAAAAAGAACTCAAAAAACTAATTTTAAGATCTAAAAACTTGATGGTTGAATCTATTATTCTTCTGCAAAACTTGTTTTTAATAAATATTGATTTTAAGATCTAAAAACTTGTTTGGTGTTGAACTACAAACTATTGAAATTAACAAGAGAGAGAGAGAGAGAGAGAGAGAGAAGAGTTCGTTTGGACTTTGGACTTAAAATGGGCCTACCAAAGGTTTTTTTTTGTTTTGGTTTTTAAAATTGGCCTACTAAACGGGTTTTTGTGGCTTTAAACTTTTTGTTTTTGAGTTTATAAATTTGGATCCAAAAAGGATACCAAAGAGTTTCTTTGAACTTTTTATAAGATTTTAGTCATGTTAGTAGTTTAGTTTGGATTGGGCCATCTAAGTGGCCCAATGAGTGGTTTGTGGGTTGGACCTTCCTGTCGGACATTCATTAATCAAAAGATGGTCTTTGCGGCTCCGAAAGTCAAAGTGGCTCATCCGATCGTCATCTCCATTTATAACTCCATAAATTTTGATGATGTGGCAAGACTATTTTAGTCTTTTTATCATAAGTGATGATGTGTCATTTGTATGGCATACTTTTTTTTTTCTTAAGTGAAATAAAATATTAATAAAAACTAAAATAATATAATTAAATCATGTAATTACTTGTTTAATTTTTAAAAAGATATAATTAAAAAAACTATTCTTCTCCATCGACTTCCGGGGAGACAATGTAAGATTTGATCATAGTTTCATAGGGCACTACAATAAATAAGTCTTTAATATATTAAAACTAACACTAAACAAGTGTTTAAAAAACAAATAAATACAGCCAACAGGATTTAACTCAATCGAAAAGAACCTTGATGTGTAGATCAATGGTCTCAGGTTCAAATCTACATGGTATTTTGATAGTGTGTGTGCCCCTTATAATTTACACTATCGCTTATATATAAAAAAAAAAACACTAACAATGCAAATAAGATTCTTCGCATTCTTATCACACTACTCCATTCTTTTCTGCCGGGAAAATAACTATCTCACATGCATGTGTAAGATTTCTTGTTTTTATTAAAGTGGACACAAATTGTGCTCTGCATATGCTCAATCACCTTGGTTAATAACCTCCGAGAGTGAACATATATTTATGTAGTCCATGACCATGGGTTATCATATGTTAACATTTTCATTGTAATCGTTATATTGACCAAATTTCGAAGGGATTAAAAAAGTTTACATTCAGAAAAGCTATTACAAATTCTTTCTTAAGATATAATAGCCCCTGCTCACGCATGTGCCAATTGGTTTTCTTTTTTCTTTTTTATTTTATTTTTAGAATTAAGAAAAGATAACATGGGTATTTTTTATTTTAATTTTTTTTAATATGAAAAAATGTGAATTTACCATATTATCCTCATTTAATTAATAATTTCAATCCTTAATGTTTGAATTAACCAACGCATTTTCTGGTATTTTGAATGTTTCATCATTCTCTACCTTTTGCTTTATATATATATAGATACATATAAAAAGGTTATAAATAATTTAAAACAGAATCAAGTCACAGCTTATCAATTAATTACATAATTTTGAAATATACCAGTTGTCTTCGAAATCGTGTTAATAAAAAATCAGCGGGCATTTTCAAATATATTACTACTCTGCTAGTGGCAAATGGAGTTGTTTCTGGGCTTTAATTTTTGGATTGAATGAGCAAAGAAAGGCCCAAGTGATAAAGGACGGGGTCACTCATAACTTTCCACTCATTATAGTCTGACCTAAGGACGGGAGTTTGTCTTAGACTTGGGCCAGCCAAACAATTAAAGTAGGAAGGAATCTCGACTTGACTTGATTAAAAACTAAGAAACATGAATCCCATATCGGAATACCGTTCTATGAATGAAGACTTTATATAGAGCTTTTCAACACTAAAGCTTGTCCCTTCGGGGACATCCGATAAAATTGGAACGATACAGAGAAGATTAGCATGGCCCCTGCGCAAGGATGACACGCATAAATCGAGAAATAGTCCAAATTTTTTTGCACTTTCTTGCGTGGCTTTCGATTGTTTTTTTCTTTGTTTTTTGACAACCGTGAAACAATAGGAAAATTACTGTATAATTCTTTGTTTTTTTTAATTTCAATGTTTCTGAAGTTGGCGTCTTGATTGGTACATCCATTTTGGAGCTGCTTGGAGAGGTTGGATCGATCTAATCAAAATACCAACTATAAAGAAAAAAGAAAAAAGAAAAAAGTTACGAATTGGAAAGGTAGCTAGCCTCCAACCTTATCATTTGCGGGTGGAGAAAAGCCACTCAAAACTTGCAACAATCCAAACAAGAAGTTCCTTTATGCGCCTAAACCAATCAGGACACAGCCACTGTCTTTTCCACTTGCAAAGGCCAATATCTCATCAATTAGGCTTTCTGACACACTCCATCGCTCTTTCTAACACAATGGGTTGTTCTTGTGTAACTGTTGCAGCATTGGTATTCTGTCTTTTGCACCAAATCCAAGGGAATACTAGGCCAAGCAACAATGTAGTAAACAGTGGCAGCTGTGACCTTTTCCATGGGAGATGGGTTTATGATAGGTTTTATCCTCTCTACAATTCAACAACATGTCCCTTCATAGGGAAGGAGTTTAATTGCCAAAACAATGGAAGACCGGACAATGACTATCTTAAGTACAGATGGCAGCCCACTTCATGCCAGATACCAAGGTATATAACTCTTGTGCTGTTTATTCATCGTCTACGAAGTCATCTTGCTAATTTCATGGTACTGTATTCGACACTAATACATACTTCCAGTTAACATAACATAAATTTTATAAACTAAATGTGGTGGAAGTTATTACCAAGTTTAACATATGAAACATTAACGATTTGTAAATATGTTTCACAAAGCTAAATTTGCCAATGTTTATAAATGTATATGTATAGGATCAGTGGTAGAGGGTTTTTAAGAAGATTTAGAGGGAAGCGCATCTTGTTTGTGGGGGACTCACTGAGCTTGAATCAATGGCAGTCCCTCGCATGCTTAATTTACAAGTCAGCACCACAAGCCAAGTACAACGTTATCAGGACTGGAGGCCTCTCCATTCTCAAGTTTCCTGTAAGGCTTCCCTCTTGTTTTTGTTTTTGTACATTAATTAAATGGAATCAGACCGATCACCTATCTTAATCCTAACTCATTTTCTCAAGGAAACTTGTAGGAATTTGATGTTTCAATCATGCTCTCCCGCAATTCCTATTTAGTAGATATTATGCGTGAGAAAATTGGGCATGTTCTTGTGCTCGATTCGATTCAAAATGGAAATTTTTGGAGAACGTTTGATGTCTTGGTCTTCGATACATGGCATTGGTGGCTTCATACAGGGAGAAAACAACCGTACGTTAGATTACATATACATAGTTACAATCTTCATGAAGTTGCTATCAAAATATAAAGAAAACTAAATAATTTCAAGTCTAAATTTCATATGCATGGACATGTTTTGGTGGCATTGCAGGTGGGATTTTGTACGATATAGAGGAAGAACATACAAAGACATGGATCGCATGGTGGCCTATGAGAGGGCTTTGAGGACATGGGCTACATGGGTGGACTTCACTGTGGATTCTAGTAAAACTCAGGTCTTCTTCCAGGGTGTTTCTCCAGATTCAATGAAGTAAGTAACTGGGCCTCCGATGGACTAATCAGGGATAAAATCAAGAGCACGTTTGACAAATTTTATATTTTTTGTTTATTGCTTTTATTTTATTTTTTTAATTAAAGAAAAAGATAAAAGATGAGATTTACTATTTAAACCCCGCATTTCTCTTTGTTCACCCCAATACTTAAATTATTAAGCTGTAAGTTTTATTATTGGGTAAAAAGACAAAAAAGGTCATCTAACTTAATAATTAACCCCAGTACATCTATACACACACCCCACACACCCCAACTTCCTGTTTACAAACTCACTCTCTCTCTCTCTCTCTCTCTCTCTTCTCTCTCTCTCTCTCTCTCTCAAGTTCTCAACTCAACAATACATAAGTGTTGGAATTCCAGTTACAGTTCTTGGAGAGAGGTAAAGTTGTTCTCTTTCTCTAGAAAGTATTAAATTTCGGGTTTGGGGTTCCATTTGTTTGTGTTTTTTTTCTGCTGGGATCAAAGAAAATTATGGGGTTTAAATAGAAAATCTCTTTTATTTCTTATTTTTTCAGTTTGGGGTGTATTTAAGGGTAGTTTGGGAAGATAATGGGGTTTTCTTAGAAATTGTGAAAATTTAAATTAAAAGATGGGGTGAACTTAGAACATGGGGTGAACTAAGAGAAGTGTGGGGTTTAAATAGAAAATCTCTAAAAGATTGGGTCACTAAATAGCAGCTCCATAAAGATAATTAAAAGAAGATTAAGATGAGAAATATTATTATTATTATTATTTTTAAAAGTTAGAATAGATAGAATTTAACTCAAAACTGTTTTATATGGGGCTTAGCTTATATAGTTTTGTACTCTCATCCTCAACTCTTTCATGTTCTCTTTCTTATATCATGCTTTAATTCCTATATTTTTTTAAATATACTATAAGCATATCATATACAAGTTATATATATGGGGCATTTTTTAATTAGTATTTTATGTTAAGGATTAGTTATATTTTCTAATTTCTACCGTTGTATTGCATGTATATTGCGTATTAAATCTACCAATACATCTAATGAATGCAATTCAACGACTGAAATTAGAAATAACCAATCTTTAACTTAATTACTTATTGGAGAATCTCCCTATATATAGTAGAGGAGACAAATCACATTGTACGAGAGAGAAAAAGTGAATGGGAGTAAAAGTGGGAGTGTAGCATTATCATAACACCTTTCTTTTTAAATTAATTATTACAATTGCTTAAAATAATAAGGGAAATATTGATATATAACTTCCCATGATTGAAGAAAAGCTAGCATTCTCTTCATAAAGTTTTTTTTCTCTTTTAATAATCTAGATAGAGATTCAAACTTGAGACTTTTTTCAATTTTGGAAAGAGAATTACCACTAAATCAAAACTAGACTTATACTAATGAAAACTCTTTTATGTCCAAAGCTAAACTTTATATATATCCAATGATTCTTCACCGAGCACAGCATTTAGCTAAAGGTAGGAGTTAGAAAGTCATCATATAATAAAAAGTCCCATGCTTAGAATTTCAAGCTTTTTAAACTTTTTTTTTTTTTTTTTTTTCTGCCCAAACATGACATTTTCTATTTGTGCCAATGATCATCTAGTCCAAGAGAATGGGGGGTTGCAAACTCAGAGAACTGTAGGGGACAAACGCAGCCACTGCTGGGGACGCAATATCCAGGAGGTACACATCCAGCACAACTTGTTTTAGAAAGGGTACTGCGCAGAGTGTCAAAACCAGTTCATTTGCTGGACATAACAACACTATCACAATTAAGAAAAGATGGTCACCCTTCAGCCTACGGGTATGGAGGTTCGCGCGGCACGGATTGCACCCACTGGTGTCTTCCCGGCGTTCCGGATACTTGGAATCAACTTCTATTTGCAGCACTCTTCCAAAGTTGAATTGATAATTTTTCTAATCATGTTATCACTTGAAAGCCATATAGTTCAGTTGGGCTAGAGAGTAGGAACTCCTTGATGTTGCTTCATAAGTGTTTGAATAAAGTAGGGTCAATTGATGTACTTTGGGCCTTTTGTAGTTTTTGCCTTTTTTGAATTGTTAGCTGTTTGGATTTCTTTTTTGGCGCTTTTCCGAATATGTAAAACTTAGTGTCCATTTGGCATTGCTTATTTGGGGTGATAAGTGATTTTTAAAAAATTTTGGGAAGCCCAGCCCATTTGGTAAACTATAAGAAAATCACTTATTGTTAAAAATTGTTGTGAGAGAAAGCTATAAGGGAAAGCAGCTAATAAGGTGCTTTCATTTTCTGATTATGCAAGAATCAGTTTCAAAAAGGCGCTGGGTTTAATGATTATGCTGCAATTTTTTTTTTTAAAATTATGAGGGAATCAATACCAACAACACTTTTAACAAAAAGTTTACCAAACGCCAAACTGCTTTCTCTCACAGCTGATTTCTCTCACAGCAAATCTGACAGTGATTATTTTCACAGCACAGCAATGCCAAACTGGCCCTTAATCTAACATAAACATCACCAACACAATAGAAAAAGCGAGTATTGTAAGCTAGTTTGAATTGAAATTTATCGTACTTTGGAAATTTAGGACCTGTTTGGTATCCTACTCAAAGAATTGAACTCCAAACTATTTTTAAGATCTACAAAGTTCAAAATTAAAATAAGAAACCCTAGATTCCCAAATTGAAATTAACAAAAGAAAAGGGGAGAGAGAGAGAGAGAGAGAGAGAGTTCCTTTGGACTTTGAACTTAAAATGGGCCTACAAAAAGAGTTTTTTGTTTGTTTGGATTTTACAAAGAGGCCTACCAAATGGATTTTTGTGGCTTTAAACTTAAAATCTATTTTTGAGTTTATAAAATTAAATCTAAATGGGATACTAAACGAGCCCTTAAAATTTCTTTCAACTTTTATAAAACTTTAGTCATGTTAGTAGTTTAGTTTGGATTGAGCTGGACCTTGCGGTTAAACATTAATTAATCAAAAGATGGTCTTTGCGGCCTCTTGGGTTTTGTGAATAACAACATCATTATCACCAAAACATCTTGTCCTTTTCTTTTGGTCGAAATCAAAACATGTTGTCTGACTCTGAGAAATAATAACACAGATTTCGTCAGAAATCAAGCACATAAAAAACAAGAAGCACTAATACACAGCTTGATAAAAAAAGTTGAGGTTCTTCTATTAATAAGTTTGCCTTGTATCATCGAAATTATCTAACAAAATTGTCCCAAAAACATGATGATTTTATAATACACAAATTTTGACAAGCATGTAAACAATATTATAACATATTATACCTATACTTTAAATAATCATTTTAAAAGATTTCAAACATCAGAAACTAGAGATCGATCGATGCAAGAATGAAACAAGGTGCAAGCAAAAAAAGATTTCAAACATGACAAAACCTATTATAGAGAAATGACCACGGTGAAGTCAAACGATGAGTACAAAGACAACTATGTACCACTTAGCGGCTTAGCTCAAACAAGAACTTTCAAAATTAAAAATTAAAAATCATACGAAGAGTATAGTAACTTGTTAGAAATAAAAATAAGCAAGAGAGAAATATTCGATATCATTCTTATTTCACATCATTAAGAACTTAACAAGTAAGATACTACATATTAGAGCATCCGCAATGATGCTCTCTATTTCTTAGCTAAAATTGAGCTAAAAATATAATAAAGCTATTTTAGGAGCTCTCTAAAAAATTTCAACTTCAACCATACTCCCTAATTTGGAGAGTCATAAATGCTATAACTCTTTTTTGATTGGTCCATCTCTATTAAAAAATAAAATAAAAAATAGTTAGCATTAAATAAAGGTTTGAAATACTCATTAAATAAGGCAGCATTAAATTATAGGGAGCCACTAGGAGTCCTTTCTCTCTCCTCAGAT